TGTTTTTACAGTTTCTCTTTCAGTGAGTTCATCATTGATGTACAAGAATGCTGTCGATTTCTTGACGTTAATTTTGTATCCTGCTACTTTGCCAAATTCATTTATTAACTCTAGTAGGTTTTTGATGGAGTCTTTAGGGTTTTCTATGTATAATATCATGTATCTTCAAATAATGGCAGTTTCACTTCCTCCTTTCCAATTTGGATCCCTTTTATTTTTTCTTCCTGTCTGATTGCTGTGGCTAAGACTTCCAGTACTATGTTAAATAAGAGTGGCGAAAGTGGACATCCCTGTCTTGTTCCTGTTCTTAATGGAAATGTTTTTAGTTTCTGCCCATCAAGTATGATGTTGGCTGTAGGTCTTTCATATATGGCCTTTAATATGTTGAGATATGATCCCTCTATTCCCACACTGCTGAGCGTTTTTATCAGAAATGGATGCTGGATTTTGTCGAATGCTTTTTCAGCATCTATTGATATGATCATGTGGTTTTATTCTTCATTTTGTTTATGTAGTGTATCACATTTATTGATTTGCGAATATTGTACCAGCCTTGCATTCCTGGAATGAATCCCACTTGGTCATGGTGAATAATTTTTTTGATGCATTGCTGGATCCAATTTGCTAGTATTTTGTTCAGGATTTTGTCGTCTATGTTCATCAGGGATATTGGCCTGTAGTTTTCCTTCTTTGTAGTGTCTTATTCTGGTTTTGGAATTAGAATTATGCTAGCCTCATAGAACGTCTTTGGAAGTCTTCCTTCTTCTTGAATTTTTTGAAATCGTTTCAGGAGAATGGGTGTTAGTTCTTTTTTGAATGTTTGGTAAATCTCCCCGTGTGGCCATCTGGGACTGGGCTTTTGTTTGCTGGGAGAGTCTTGATTACCTCTTCAATTTCCTTAGTTGTTATTGGTCTGTTCAAGTTTTCTATCTCTTCCAGGTCCAGTTTTGGGACTGTGTGTTTCTAGAAATTTGTCCATTTCGCTTAGATTGTCGAATTTGTTGCCATGTAGTTATTCATAATAGCTGTTAACAATCTTTTGTATTTCTGTGGTGTTCGTTGTTACTTCTCCTCTTTCATTTCTTATTTTGTGTATTTGGGTTCTCTCTCTTTGTTTCTTGGTGAGTCTAGCTAAGGGTCCATCGATCTTGTGTATCTTTTCGAAAAACCAGGTCTTTGTTTCATTGATCCTTTGAATTGCTTTTTTTTTTTTTTTTGGTATCTGTCATTTATTTCTGCTCTGATCTTTACTATTTCCTTTCTTCTACTTGCTCTGGGGTTTTCTTTTGTTTGCTTTCTAATTCTTTAAGTTGTGAGGTTAGACAGTCAATTAGAAAATTTTCTTGTTTCTTGAGGTAGGCCTGTAGTACTATGAACTTCCCTCTCAGAACTGCTTTGGTTGCATCCTAAAGATTTTGTGTTGTTGTGTGTTCATTTTCATTGGTTTCCAGGAAGTTTTTAATTTCTCCTTGATTTCCTTGGTAACCCATTCATTGTTTAATAACATGCTATTTAGCATCCATGTGTTGAAATGTCTTTGCATGTTCTTGTTCCAATTGATTTCTAGTTTCATGCCATTGTGATCTGAGAAGATGCTTGATATGATTTCAATCTTCTTGAACTTGTAGAGATTTAGTTTGTGTCCTATCATGTGGTCTATCTTTGAGAATGTCCCATGTGCACTTGAGAAGAATGTGTATTCTGTAGTTTTGGGGTGTAATTCTCTGTAGATATCTATTAAATCCATTTGGTCTAGTACTTCATTTAGCATCTCTGTTTCCTTGCTAATTTTTTGTCTAGAGGATCTATCCAGTGCTGTCAACAGGGTGTTGAAGTCCCCTGCTATGACTGTATTGCTGTCAATTTCTCCTTTGAAGTCCTCCAGAAGATTTTTAATATATTTTGGTGCTCCTATATTGGGTGCATATATGTTTATCAAGGTTATATCTTCTTGTTGGATGAATCTTTTTAATATTATGTAGTGGCCGTCTTTGTCTCTAGTTATGGCCTTCATTTTGAAATCTATTTTATCAGATATGAGTATTGCTATCCCAGCTTCTTTTTGCTTTCCATTTGCTTGGAAAATTTTGTTCCATCCCTTCACTTTCAACATATATGAGTCTTTTGTTGTGAGGTGGGTCTCTTGTAAACAATATATAGATGTGTCATGCTTTCTTATCCAATCAGCTACTCTGTGTCTTTTGATGGGAGCATTCAATTCATTTACATTTAAGGTGATTATTGATATGTACTTATTTATTGCCATTTTCCTTTAGTGTGGTTCTATTTTTCATCCCATTTTTCCTGCTAATTACAGGAGTCCTTTTAACATTTCTTGCAGTGCTGGTTTGGTGCTAATGTATTCCCTTAGCCTTTTTTTTGTCTGGGATGCTCTTTATTTGACCTTCCAATTTGAATGATAGCCTTGCTGGTTAGAGTAGTCTTGGATTCAGATTCTTGTTTTTCATGACCTTGATTACTTCATGCCATTCCCTTCTGGCCTGTAGTGTTTCTTGTGAGAAGTCAGCTGAGAGTCTTATAGGATTTCCTTTGTAGGTAACCTGTTGCTTATCTCTTGGTGCTTTTAGGATTCTCTCTTTGTCTTTAATTTTTGGCATTTTAATTACTATGTGTCTTGGTGTGGGCCTGTTTGGGTTCTTCTTACTTTGGGCTCTCTGTGCTTTTTGAACTTGAATGCCTTCTTCCTTCACCAAATTAGTGAAGTTTTCTGTCACTATTTTTTTGAATATATTCTCTATCCCTTGCTCATTTTCTTCTTCTCCAGGGACTTCTATGATGCGAATATTATTACGTTTCCAGTTGTCCCACAGTTCTCTTAAGCTGTCTTCCTGTTTTTTAATCGTTTTTGCTTTATGTTTTTCTGATTGGTTGATTTTTTCTACCCTGTCTTCTAATTTACTGATCTCGTCCTCAGCTTCCTCTACTCTGCTTTTTAAACCTTCCAATGTGTTTTTCATTTCGGATATGTCATTTTTTATTTCTTCTTGTTGGTTTTTCATTTCCAATTGGCTTATTTTCAGTGTCTCTATGTCCTTACTCATGCTGTTCAGCTTCCTCAAGATCATGGCTCTGAATTCTAGCTCTGTTAACATGCCTAATTGTTCCACATTGATCTCATCTTCGGTGGATGTCTCTTACTCTTTCATTTGGCTTCTGTTTCTGTGTTTCACCATTTTGGCTATCACTGTGGGCTTTGGAGCCTGTCAAGTTTTCCCTGTGGGTGTTGGTTTTCTGCTTTTTGTGGCTCCCTCTCCTGGGTTTAGATGAGCGAGGGAGGACTCACGTTAAACACCACTGTCAAGTCTTACTTTCCTGGTTAAAGTTGCTAGCCCAGGAAAGGTACTGTTATCCTGTATCTTTTTGCCTGGAGGCTAGCAGTGGAGGTTACTTGATGAGCTATGGATTGTCAGTTGATTGAAAAACTCCCTCAGGTGCTCAGCATAAGGGGATTTCACGAGGGTGGGGCAGATGCTGGTTGTTAATGAGCCTCAATTAGCACTTCAATGGCCCACATGGTGGGGTTGGATCTCCGATGGAGGGGCTGCTGCCTCTCCTCAGAGCCCTGGGAAGGAGCAATGTGGCCACCGTCCTGCGTGGCAGCAACTCAGCAAAAGCTCTGCGTGCCCTCCAAATTCCGAGTGTCCCAACACAGTTTCAGTCCAGTCTGCCCTCCCTCTGCCGGAGCCCAAGGTGAGTGGCTGTGGCTGTTTTAGCCTCTCCCGGCTCTGCACTGTGGAGCTGCCTAGGAGTGTAACCCGAGGGCGCTGTTCACTGCTGAGGCTGTTGCTGAGCTGCTGACTGTGGCCTCCCAGCCCCTGTCTCGTGCCTTCGCAAGCCTACCAGGATGGAGTCAGTGTCCCTGGTTATATGGTCCTCGCAACCTGCTTTTCTGTTGGTTTTTCCCGTCGATTTGTCTGTGTTATAGTTGTAATTCCAGTTTGGTTCTGGGAGATTGTGTGTATAGCTTCCGTTCACTCTGCTGCCATTTTCAGGTAAAGATTTTTTTTAAAAGAAAGAAAAACAACCCTTTATATAGTCGTCCCCAGTGACCCGAGGGCAATGCATTCCAGGCCCCCAGTGAGTGCGTGGGCCTGCAGCCGAGCTCTAAGCCACAGGTCCAGGAACCAGGGCCTCACCGCAGCCAGTGCAGAGCAGGGAGACGCGGGGCCAAGGGGGTGGTGCCTCCGGAGCAGGATAGAGCAGGAGCGCAGGAGGCTTCATGATGCTACTTGTAACACTTGCAATTTAAAACGTAGGCTTTATTTATTTCTGGAATTTCCCATTTGATATTTTAGATCATTGTTGATGATAGGTAACTGAAATCACAGAAGGCAAAACTGTGGATAAGGGGAACCGCGGTTCTTTTGAGAAAAACTGACACTGAAAGCCATGGCCTGTTGTTGGGGGTGTGGCAAAGCCAGGCGTGCTCTGACCAAGGCTGGGGGCCGTGGAGTTGGAAAGCCCCAGGAGGCTGAACTTTTGTGAAGCTCACCAAGCTGGGGCAGAATCTGCCCTGCCATTAACTTCACGGTGTGATGTTAAGCAGGTCACATAAACCAGCTAAGGCACAATTTCTTCATCTGTAAAAGGGGACAGTATAGCAGCTACCTTTGGCCACGGCATCCCGTCCTGTGCTCCCCTGAGCAGCCCGAGTCCGGTGCACATCAGCCGGCCTGACTGATGCAGACCCCGAGGACGGGGCCCGACGGCCCTCCATTCCAAGGCCGTGGCTGAGACGCCCTTTACCTGTGCACAGTGAGGCGCTCCATGCTAACGGCCCTTCTCACAGCCAGGACAACTGCTCCAGGGGGCGTGCTGGGCCCACCAGGTCCAGAAACAATGGACAACTTTTAAAAATCAGAATCTGTTGTTACTTTTTTTCTCTTTTATTTTATTTTCAATTTCTAATAAAATCCTCAGTATTTCCAGCTGATGTTCTATCATCATTTTAATAGATGAAAAATGTTCTTCAAATGCAGAAAAAATGTCGTTGAACCAGAAGACCCTCGATGTGCCCGGCTGACACTAACTGGCCAGATGATTGCAGTGTCTTCAGAAGAAGTAGAATTTGCCAAACAAGCCATGTTTTCAAGGTTTGTATGTGCTTTAACGTTGGTTTGCCCAGAAATATACAGTGATGAGGATCCAAGGTCAGGGCTGTGCCATTCGACACCTCTGAGACGGCGCCAATCCTGGTCTGAGCTGCCCTTGGGCAGCACTGCCAACCTCGCACTGGCTGTCTTAGGTGGTTTTTCCAGTTTGCACTTGGACTTTGGATTTTGTTTATAACATTTTTAGATATAAATAAAATTTTTATTTGCATGAAGTTTTTAAAAAAGTGAGCCACAGCCCCTACCCTTAAGGACAATATGTGTTTAGGGCTATGCATGGGGGGAAAGTCAAGTCAGTAAATAGCAGAAGGCAGAATGTGAGAGATGTCCCTGTCCACTGTGGCTGGCTCTCAAATTGGCCCAGCATTTCCAAGCCTGCTACAGGAATGGAAACCTTCCCATGAACAGATTTAATTCATGGACTCCGAATTCTTTCATCATTTCAAACAGAGATGAAATGCATAATACGATGCCTGAGCACTTCCTCCACACAGGTGCTTTATGTGTGCCTGACTGCTCGCTCACCATGCAGCCTGTGGTCTCAGCACCATCACTGCCATCCCCCCTGATAGGTAAGGAGGCCAGGACTTGTGATGGCCACGAGACCTCACAACTCATCATTCAAACCAGGAGCCCGCCTCCAGTGTTGAGCTGTTTGCCACCCTAGGGAATGACAGTTTCCTGCCTTCCTAAGGCTGTCCCCACCCATCCCTGACCCTTAGCTTCTGCCCTTGGCTAGTTTGACCAGATTTAAGCCCAAATGAGGCCTGAAGTCTGGAGGGCCATGTGACCTGGCCAAACACACAGGAATCTGGAACTGTGCTCTGGGAGGGTGCAGTCTCGGTAAGAGCAGCTTCATCACCCCGTCCTTCCTTCTCACAGACACCCAGTTATGAAGAAGTGGCCCCGTCAGTATGCATGGTTCTTTATGAAAATGAGAATAGAGCACATCTGGTTTCAGAAGTGGTACGGAGGAATATCGGGCATTTCGAGGGAGGACTATTTCAAAGCAGTTCCGAGAAAGGCCTGACGGCGTGAGAAGTTCTCAGTGTTTGCATCAGATGAAATCTTATAAGTGATTCTGCCAGACAGCTGCTGACTGCTGTCTCTCTGTGGAAGGTCTGTAGCAACCTGCCATCCTCGCAGCAGAATGAGAACCCTGTGCTGAGACTGGAGATTAAAGTGGTCCTCTGCAAGTCCCTAATTCCCACAGGTTCCACACGTGTATCATCCTACTTACCTTGTAGTCAATCCAGACTCGCCTGTTTGGGACATGTTGAGACAGTTTTGGTCCCACTCTTCAAGACAAAACATGCCTGTGTGTACAGTGTGGTGGCTTTACATTGTGAGAGTATTTTTATTGTTTGTTGTGTCTTGGCTCGAAGCGCATAGCAACCACAAAGGAACGAAGCAGCCCAGAGCCACAGCCTCGTGTTGGGTGAGGATGCAGGGCTGGGTTGCAAATGCATTATTAAGTCACACTTGCTAGAATGTATTGGTCACTTAGGAGACTTTTTGCCCACTGTAGCATGACGAGCCGTGTGAGGACACAGAGTTTTGCACACAGCCCTACTCTATGCAAACAGGCCATAGAGGTACATTAATAAGGAAGGGAAACTTCAGCAGCAAGTTCCCTGCATCCCCACTACTAATGCTTCTAACAGAAGGTTCCCTCCTCCTTCAGCTCAAGGAATGGAATCCAAAATTTAAAAAGCACCTATTCTGAGGTGCAAATGAGAAGAGGTGAGGGGTGAACGTGGGAAGGAAGCAAAGGCAACATGTAGGAGGAGGAAGGAAAGAGGTCAGTAACTGAAGGCATGCTCCCTGCCAGGCCTCAGGCCAGGCCCTTGACGGGGTCATCTCATTTAAGCCTTACAGTCAGTGAGATGTATATTATCAATGCCATTTGCAGACAAGAAAACTGAAGCTCAGAGAGGCTAAGTCAACATCCCGAGGTCAGACTCCAGCTCTCACTGCACACAAGGGATGGATGCAGTGGTACCTAGGAGATTTCCAGTTTTTGTTTTTGTTTGGTACGTGCCCCTAGCAGAAACAGAACCCGGGACTCTCTGGTCTGTGGGCTCCAACAACTAAGCCAAACTGGCCAGTGCAGATTTCCAGTTTTAAGAATAAAACAAGGAGGGGGGTGAGAGCGGGGAGGAGGGGGTCAATGGAGAAGAAAAGGGGGACATCTGTAATACTTCCAACATTAAAATAAATAAATAAATAAGAACAAGAGTTATTGGAGTGCACAGGTAGTCATGGAAACAGGCAAATCAGTAGAACGATGACTAACCTGCCTGAAGATGATCTAATTGCTTTCAGCAAAAAAGTAAAAGGTGGGAGGAGGACTCTGAAATTTGATTCTTGCTAAAAATTTTAAATTTTCTACAAATTATATTCATAAGCTCTTGGTATTTGCAAGAAACTATATTGTACTTATGTACACATCTAAGACCTCTTATATTGACATCACAAAGCATCTACAGTAGCCAGTTTTCTGTATTTCTACAATGGTTATAAGCCCTCTTTGGTGGGCTAGGTGTGTTGTATAACATAAAGGCACATCATATCACTGTATATAGAAAATATACATTTTAAGTAAATAAAAGTGTTATTAATGGCTATACTTTTTTTTTTTTTTTACAAAATTAAGCCATAAAGAGAGTTTGAGTTCTCCAAATATCTTTAAGTGCCTATTACCAAAATCATAGTAAAATGCACAGAACTTTCAAGAGCCAATTCTCAAGAAGTCCTAATAATAGTAATTTCAATGTGTAAGAATAAGGTAACTGAGGATATTTCATATTTTCAGAGTTTAAAATTATTGTTAACCCCACGTTAGAGGTAAGAAGTGAAAACTGACACACACACCACATCGTCCCCGCAGGGGCTGGCTCCTGTCTACATGTGCGTTCACAATCAGGCTCCACTCAGCTCTTTAAAGGCCACCCTGTTGCTTTGAGGGGCTTTGTAGTATAAATGCCATTTATAACCACTGAGGAATATTCACAGTTATTTACATGAATAACAGAAAATTAAATCTGAACAGGTGAGACGATTAAGAAGAATGTTGGAACTGCATCTGTTTGAGGTTGATGGGCCCCATTCAGGGCAGTAAGTTTCAGCAAATCTTCAGACATTTACATTGACAAAAATTTTAAAGGCTATACTGGAAGTTCTAGACAGCAATAAGGCAAGAAATCAATAAAATGGACTTCCGGTGAAGATAGTAGCATAGGTAAACACAGTATTGCCTCCTCTCACAACCACATGAAAATTATAACTAAACTACAACAAAACCATCATTCAGAGTTGCCTGACATCGAGCTAAATGGAAGTCTTACAACTACAAAATTAAAGTAGCAGAAGCAGCCACACCGAGACTGGTAGGAAGATCAAAAGCAGACGGCTTGGTCCACACCCATGTGTGGTGGATAAAAATCAGGAGGACACCTCAGCTGGGAAGGGCCTCCCTGAGGAGTGATGGGTTCCTGTCCCACACCAGGAGCCCAGCTCAGGGCTCCAGTGCCAGGAAGAGAATCCCCATAACTTCAGGTTGGAAAACCAGTGGGAACTGAGGCTCAGGGAGGCTGAGGCTGCAGGAACCACAGGCAGCTCTTCTTAAAGGGCCCATGCACGGACTTACATGGACATGCTCCCTATAAGCTTAGAGGGGAGGCAGCTTGAGTGGCACCAGAGACATACAAGGAATAAGTGATCTGTTTGGCCTCAGGACGAGGAGGAGAGGCAGCTTTCTTCTGGACCGATGTTCTGGCAGAAGCTGATGTTCCTTTGCTGAGCCTTTCCCTACAACGGCAGACAGCTGCCATATCTGGGACTCCAGCAACCTGGCTCACACTGTTTGCCCCACCCTGGTGATTCCCTGAGGCCCCGCCCCACCCAACTTTCGGGCTCACCCAAGCTGTTTCCAAAGGCTTTACCATAGGACTGGCCTGTGTTGGATCCTGCTTCAGATTTCCTAAAATCTCTCAAACAAACATCATCTGGTCTCAGCGAGCGCCATACTTCTCATTAAGTAGCTCCAGGCCTGGCACTAGAAGCAGCCAGCCTTGGTTCATAACTTGGCTTTTCCTGGGCACCCTCAAGCCCAGCACAAAAAGCATCCATCTGCAGACTGCTTTGCTGCTTAAGCCTGGTGGGCCCAGATAGAACACAGGCAGTGGCTAACCTTGCCCCAGAGCCAGCACATCCAGTGGACAGCTTCAGACCACATTGAAACACCACCACCCAACCACCTCCACAAGTGACACACTCAGTGAGCAGACTCAGTGTGTACCAGAGTCCTGATAAAGTAAGTCTTGCTCTGTGTGGTGGCCCCTACACAACTGATCATTCAAGGTAGTCAGAGGCCTGAGGTCAGTGTGCACAGCTAGTTCTTATAGCTGATCAACCTGAGTATATCCCTCCCATTGATGTGCCAAAAGCAATCAAGACTCAATTAAAACAGAAAGGTATACAGTCCACACCACAGGTGCCCCTCAAGGGCCCAGCTGGGATGATCATGGAGGCTGTGTCACTGGATCCTACAGGACACCTACAACAATAGGCCACCCTACAAAGCCTAGGAGACATAGCAACTTTACCTAATACATAGAAACAATCTTAGGAAAGCAGCTGAAATGAGGAGGCAAAGAAACATGTCCCAAATGAAAAAAAAGAACAAAACTCCAAAAAGAGAATTAAACAAAATGGAGAAAAGCAACCAATCAGATGCAGAGTTCAGAAAACAAATTATAACGTTGCTCAAGGAACTTGGTGAAACATTCAAGGGACTTAGTGAAACCTTCAAGGAACTTAGTGAGAACATCAACAACGTAAAAAAGGACCAGTCAGAAACGAAGAATGCATTAACTAAAATAAAAAATAATTTAAAGGGAATCAATTATAGAGTAGGTAAAAACAAGAAGCAAACCATTGATTTAGAATATAAGGAAGCAAAAAACACGTAATCAGAACATCAAAAAGAAGAAAGAATCCAAAAAAATGAGGATAGTGTAAGGATCCTCTGGGACAACTTCAGACGTGCCAACATTCACATCATAGGGGTTCCAGAAGGAGAAGAGAGAAAACAAGAAATTGAAAACCTATTTGAAACAATGACAAAAAAAACTTCCCTAACTTGGTGAAGGAAACAGACATACAAGTCCAGGAAGTACAGAGAGTCCCAAACAAGATGAACCCAAAGAGGACCAAACCAAGACACATCATCATCAAAATGCCAAAGGTTAAATACAAAGAAAGAATGTTAAAAGCAGCAATAGAAAAGAAGCCTGTAACCTACAAAGGAGCTCCCATAAGACTGTCAGCTGATTTCTCAAAAGAAACTTTGCAGGCCAGAAAGGAATGGCAAGAGATATTCAAGGTGATGAAAAGCAATGACCTGCAACCAAGACTACTCTATCCTGCAAAGCTATCATTTAGAATTGGTGGCGGCCATATCAAGAGTTTCCCAGACAAGAAAAAGCTAAAGAAGTTCATCACCACCAAACCAGTATTATATGAAATGTTGAAGGGTTTTCTTGAAGGAGAATAAGAACAAAAATATAAACAATAAAATGGCAATTAATATATATTTATTAACAATTTAATCTATAAACAAAATGAGCAAGAAGAACAGAAACAGACTCATAGATACAGAGAACATTTTGTTGATTGCCAGATGGGTGAGTGCTGGGGGAATGGGTGAAAAATATAAAGGAATTAAGAAGTACAAATTGGTTGTCAGACTGATGAACCTCAAAGGGAAGGCGGGAGGGAGGGCAAGATGAGATAAACCAAAGAACTTCTGTGCATATATGCATAAAGAATAGACACTGACAATGGTGTGGGGAAAGCTGGAGGGGAGTGGAATTGGGGAGAAGGGGGACAATGGGGAGAAAAGGGGGGACATCTGTAATACATTCAACAATAAAGATAAGTTTAAAAAACTCAATAAAATGCATATGATTGCAAAGAAAAAATAAAAGTATCTCTGTTTACAAGTGACATAATTGTCTACAGAGAAAA